TCATCATCATCATCATCATCATCATCATCATCATCATCATCATCATCATCATCATCATCATCATCATCATCATCATCATCATCATCATCATCATCATCATCATCATCATCATCATCATCATCATCATCATCATCATCATCATCATCATCATCATCATCATCATCATCATCATCATCATCATCATCATCATCATCATCATCATCATCATCATCATCATCATCATCATCATCATCATCATCATCATCATCATCATCATCATCATCATCATCATCATCATCATCATCATCATCATCATCATCATCATCATCATCATCATCATCATCATCATCATCATCATCATCATCATCATCATCATCATCATCATCATCATCATCATCATCATCATCATCATCATCATCATCATCATCATCATCATCATCATCATCATCATCATCATCATCATCATCATCATCATCATCATCATCATCATCATCATCATCATCATCATCATCATCATCATCATCATCATCATCATCATCATCATCATCATCATCATCATCATCATCATCATCATCATCATCATCATCATCATCATCATCATCATCATCATCATCATCATCATCATCATCATCATCATCATCATCATCATCATCATCATCATCATCATCATCATCATCATCATCATCATCATCATCATCATCATCATCATCATCATCATCATCATCATCATCATCATCATCATCATCATCATCATCATCATCATCATCATCATCATCATCATCATCATCATCATCATCATCATCATCATCATCATCATCATCATCATCATCATCATCATCATCATCATCATCATCATCATCATCATCATCATCATCATCATCATCATCATCATCATCATCATCATCATCATCATCATCATCATCATCATCATCATCATCATCATCATCATCATCATCATCATCATCATCATCATCATCATCATCATCATCATCATCATCATCATCATCATCATCATCATCATCATCATCATCATCATCATCATCATCATCATCATCATCATCATCATCATCATCATCATCATCATCATCATCATCATCATCATCATCATCATCATCATCATCATCATCATCATCATCATCATCATCATCATCATCATCATCATCATCATCATCATCATCATCATCATCATCATCATCATCATCATCATCATCATCATCATCATCATCATCATCATCATCATCATCATCATCATCATCATCATCATCATCATCATCATCATCATCATCATCATCATCATCATCATCATCATCATCATCATCATCATCATCATCATCATCATCATCATCATCATCATCATCATCATCATCATCATCATCATCATCATCATCATCATCATCATCATCATCATCATCATCATCATCATCATCATCATCATCATCATCATCATCATCATCATCATCATCATCATCATCATCATCATCATCATCATCATCATCATCATCATCATCATCATCATCATCATCATCATCATCATCATCATCATCATCATCATCATCATCATCATCATCATCATCATCATCATCATCATCATCATCATCATCATCATCATCATCATCATCATCATCATCATCATCATCATCATCATCATCATCATCATCATCATCATCATCATCATCATCATCATCATCATCATCATCATCATCATCATCATCATCATCATCATCATCATCATCATCATCATCATCATCATCATCATCATCATCATCATCATCATCATCATCATCATCATCATCATCATCATCATCATCATCATCATCATCATCATCATCATCATCATCATCATCATCATCATCATCATCATCATCATCATCATCATCATCATCATCATCATCATCATCATCATCATCATCATCATCATCATCATCATCATCATCATCATCATCATCATCATCATCATCATCATCATCGTCATCATCATCATCATCATCATCATCATCATCATCATCATCATCATCATCATCATCATCATCATCATCATCATCATCATCATCATCATCATCATCATCATCATCATCATCATCATCATCATCATCATCATCATCATCATCATCATCATCATCATCATCATCATCATCATCATCATCATCATCATCATCATCATCATCATCATCATCATCATCATCATCATCATCATCATCATCATCATCATCATCATCATCATCATCATCATCATCATCATCATCATCATCATCATCATCATCATCATCATCATCATCATCATCATCATCATCATCATCATCATCATCATCATCATCATCATCATCATCATCATCATCATCATCATCATCATCATCATCATCATCATCATCATCATCATCATCATCATCATCATCATCATCATCATCATCATCATCATCATCATCATCATCATCATCATCATCATCATCATCATCATCATCATCATCATCATCATCATCATCATCATCATCATCATCATCATCATCATCATCATCATCATCATCATCATCATCATCATCATCATCATCATCATCATCATCATCATCATCATCATCATCATCATCATCATCATCATCATCATCATCATCATCATCATCATCATCATCATCATCATCATCATCATCATCATCATCATCATCATCATCATCATCATCATCATCATCATCATCATCATCATCATCATCATCATCATCATCATCATCATCATCATCATCATCATCATCATCATCATCATCATCATCATCATCATCATCATCATCATCATCATCATCATCATCATCATCATCATCATCATCATCATCATCATCATCATCATCATCATCATCATCATCATCATCATCATCATCATCATCATCATCATCATCATCATCATCATCATCATCATCATCATCATCATCATCATCATCATCATCATCATCATCATCATCATCATCATCATCATCATCATCATCATCATCATCATCATCATCATCATCATCATCATCATCATCATCATCATCATCATCATCATCATCATCATCATCATCATCATCATCATCATCATCATCATCATCATCATCATCATCATCATCATCATCATCATCATCATCATCATCATCATCATCATCATCATCATCATCATCATCATCATCATCATCATCATCATCATCATCATCATCATCATCATCATCATCATCATCATCATCATCATCATCATCATCATCATCATCATCATCATCATCATCATCATCATCATCATCATCATCATCATCATCATCATCATCATCATCATCATCATCATCATCATCATCATCATCATCATCATCATCATCATCATCATCATCATCATCATCATCATCATCATCATCATCATCATCATCATCATCATCATCATCATCATCATCATCATCATCATCATCATCATCATCATCATCATCATCATCATCATCATCATCATCATCATCATCATCATCATCATCATCATCATCATCATCATCATCATCATCATCATCATCATCATCATCATCATCATCATCATCATCATCATCATCATCATCATCATCATCATCATCATCATCATCATCATCATCATCATCATCATCATCATCATCATCATCATCATCATCATCATCATCATCATCATCATCATCATCATCATCATCATCATCATCATCATCATCATCATCATCATCATCATCATCATCATCATCATCATCATCATCATCATCATCATCATCATCATCATCATCATCATCATCATCATCATCATCATCATCATCATCATCATCATCATCATCATCATCATCATCATCATCATCATCATCATCATCATCATCATCATCATCATCATCATCATCATCATCATCATCATCATCATCATCATCATCATCATCATCATCATCATCATCATCATCATCATCATCATCATCATCATCATCATCATCATCATCATCATCATCATCATCATCATCATCATCATCATCATCATCATCATCATCATCATCATCATCATCATCATCATCATCATCATCATCATCATCATCATCATCATCATCATCATCATCATCATCATCATCATCATCATCATCATCATCATCATCATCATCATCATCATCATCATCATCATCATCATCATCATCATCATCATCATCATCATCATCATCATCATCATCATCATCATCATCATCATCATCATCATCATCATCATCATCATCATCATCATCATCATCATCATCATCATCATCATCATCATCATCATCATCATCATCATCATCATCATCATCATCATCATCATCATCATCATCATCATCATCATCATCATCATCATCATCATCATCATCATCATCATCATCATCATCATCATCATCATCATCATCATCATCATCATCATCATCATCATCATCATCATCATCATCATCATCATCATCATCATCATCATCATCATCATCATCATCATCATCATCATCATCATCATCATCATCATCATCATCATCATCATCATCATCATCATCATCATCATCATCATCATCATCATCATCATCATCATCATCATCATCATCATCATCATCATCATCATCATCATCATCATCATCATCATCATCATCATCATCATCATCATCATCATCATCATCATCATCATCATCATCATCATCATCATCATCATCATCATCATCATCATCATCATCATCATCATCATCATCATCATCATCATCATCATCATCATCATCATCATCATCATCATCATCATCATCATCATCATCATCATCATCATCATCATCATCATCATCATCATCATCATCATCATCATCATCATCATCATCATCATCATCATCATCATCATCATCATCATCATCATCATCATCATCATCATCATCATCATCATCATCATCATCATCATCATCATCATCATCATCATCATCATCTCATCATCATCATCATCATCATCATCATCATCATCATCATCATCATCATCATCATCATCATCATCATCATCATCATCATCATCATCATCATCATCATCATCATCATCATCATCATCATCATCATCATCATCATCATCATCATCATCATCATCATCATCATCATCATCATCATCATCATCATCATCATCATCATCATCATCATCATCATCATCATCATCATCATCATCATCATCATCATCATCATCATCATCATCATCATCATCATCATCATCATCATCATCATCATCATCATCATCATCATCATCATCATCATCATCATCATCATCATCATCATCATCATCATCATCATCATCATCATCATCATCATCATCATCATCATCATCATCATCATCATCATCATCATCATCATCATCATCATCATCATCATCATCATCATCATCATCATCATCATCATCATCATCATCATCATCATCATCATCATCATCATCATCATCATCATCATCATCATCATCATCATCATCATCATCATCATCATCATCATCATCATCATCATCATCATCATCATCATCATCATCATCATCATCATCATCATCATCATCATCATCATCATCATCATCATCATCATCATCATCATCATCATCATCATCATCATCATCATCATCATCATCATCATCATCATCATCATCATCATCATCATCATCATCATCATCATCATCATCATCATCATCATCATCATCATCATCATCATCATCATCATCATCATCATCATCATCATCATCATCATCATCATCATCATCATCATCATCATCATCATCATCATCATCATCATCATCATCATCATCATCATCATCATCATCATCATCATCATCATCATCATCATCATCATCATCATCATCATCATCATCATCATCATCATCATCATCATCATCATCATCATCATCATCATCATCATCATCATCATCATCATCATCATCATCATCATCATCATCATCATCATCATCATCATCATCATCATCATCATCATCATCATCATCATCATCATCATCATCATCATCATCATCATCATCATCATCATCATCATCATCATCATCATCATCATCATCATCATCATCATCATCATCATCATCATCATCATCATCATCATCATCATCATCATCATCATCATCATCATCATCATCATCATCATCATCATCATCATCATCATCATCATCATCATCATCATCATCATCATCATCATCATCATCATCATCATCATCATCATCATCATCATCATCATCATCATCATCATCATCATCATCATCATCATCATCATCATCATCATCATCATCATCATCATCATCATCATCATCATCATCATCATCATCATCATCATCATCATCATCATCATCATCATCATCATCATCATCATCATCATCATCATCATCATCATCATCATCATCATCATCATCATCATCATCATCATCATCATCATCATCATCATCATCATCATCATCATCATCATCATCATCATCATCATCATCATCATCATCATCATCATCATCATCATCATCATCATCATCATCATCATCATCATCATCATCATCATCATCATCATCATCATCATCATCATCATCATCATCATCATCATCATCATCATCATCATCATCATCATCATCATCATCATCATCATCATCATCATCATCATCATCATCATCATCATCATCATCATCATCATCATCATCATCATCATCATCATCATCATCATCATCATCATCATCATCATCATCATCATCATCATCATCATCATCATCATCATCATCATCATCATCATCATCATCATCATCATCATCATCATCATCATCATCATCATCATCATCATCATCATCATCATCATCATCATCATCATCATCATCATCATCATCATCATCATCATCATCATCATCATCATCATCATCATCATCATCATCATCATCATCATCATCATCATCATCATCATCATCATCATCATCATCATCATCATCATCATCATCATCATCATCATCATCATCATCATCATCATCATCATCATCATCATCATCATCATCATCATCATCATCATCATCATCATCATCATCATCATCATCATCATCATCATCATCATCATCATCATCATCATCATCATCATCATCATCATCATCATCATCATCATCATCATCATCATCATCATCATCATCATCATCATCATCATCATCATCATCATCATCATCATCATCATCATCATCATCATCATCATCATCATCATCATCATCATCATCATCATCATCATCATCATCATCATCATCATCATCATCATCATCATCATCATCATCATCATCATCATCATCATCATCATCATCATCATCATCATCATCATCATCATCATCATCATCATCATCATCATCATCATCATCATCATCATCATCATCATCATCATCATCATCATCATCATCATCATCATCATCATCATCATCATCATCATCATCATCATCATCATCATCATCATCATCATCATCATCATCATCATCATCATCATCATCATCATCATCATCATCATCATCATCATCATCATCATCATCATCATCATCATCATCATCATCATCATCATCATCATCATCATCATCATCATCATCATCATCATCATCATCATCATCATCATCATCATCATCATCATCATCATCATCATCATCATCATCATCATCATCATCATCATCATCATCATCATCATCATCATCATCATCATCATCATCATCATCATCATCATCATCATCATCATCATCATCATCATCATCATCATCATCATCATCATCATCATCATCATCATCATCATCATCATCATCATCATCATCATCATCATCATCATCATCATCATCATCATCATCATCATCATCATCATCATCATCATCATCATCATCATCATCATCATCATCATCATCATCATCATCATCATCATCATCATCATCATCATCATCATCATCATCATCATCATCATCATCATCATCATCATCATCATCATCATCATCATCATCATCATCATCATCATCATCATCATCATCATCATCATCATCATCATCATCATCATCATCATCATCATCATCATCATCATCATCATCATCATCATCATCATCATCATCATCATCATCATCATCATCATCATCAAATCAGACCGTCTTGTCTTTAATAAATGTATTTTTGTAACAGAAATAAAATATAATAATATCGAAGCTGTTGAATTTTTTTTAAACAAGGAGGAATAACTATTCCTTTTTTACTGAACCAAGATACCTGAATCAAATTAATTTAAGTGTATTATTGAATTTTATTGTTGTGACTGATGGACCTTTAATCCAACTAATAAATATCTGTTCATTATAATAATAAAACAACTCCATTAGACGGGTGAATTATGGAGAGTGTGTGGAGAAAAGTAAAAGAAATTAACTAGTATCCACAATAATCATTAAACATTGCCTTATAGCTAGGTTTAGTCTTATCCACGAAACAATAGAAAGTATTCATCCACACAGAAAATAGCGGAAGAAAATAAAAGTCAATTATGATTCATGACCTATTAAACTACACTTTTATGTACCAACGTTTCCTCCTCAATGCCAACCATTTTAAAACAAAATGATACTTTACAGTATTACCCTACATATCCTACCTTATTCTGTCTTATCCTAACTCATTAAAAATTAATTCACTAAAAATTATTACTTTACACAATAAAACTTTAATAATCATTCTATGTTTAAAAATAATTATTTTGAGCAGATTATGATTATAAATCGAGAAATCGTGTATCGTTAATGGAAAATTTATGTTTTCGCTTTTATTATAATTCGTATATATATATCTGTTTGTAGATTTATTTTTCCACAAAAATTAAGCATTCAGTTCCTTATACCTACGTCTGTGTTGATTGACTTTTATATACTGTGCGCTTACATGAACCTTTGTATTATGCAAGCATTTGTACCAGTAGTACAACAATAAAAACGATCGATAGGAATACAAGGACAAATAAAGTTGACTGAACCTCAAAATAACTTTTATACAAGAAGACCATCAGAACTGGGTGACTCATTGCTTGTTCACTTCTACAGGAAGCGAATAATGGTGCCCAGAAAGAGTGAAACCATTGCTATTAAATCACTCAACTCAGAGAAAACAACACAGACTGAAAATTATCGATGATGTTCAAAACTAGAAAAAAAAACATTTGTTGGTATTCAACAACCTCGACACCAGTTTGCAACAATTTATGATAAATCTCGTTTTCAAATAATGAAATTACGTATTAATCTCGTTAGTTAGGTATACTCAGAGAAAAATTGGTTTTTGTGAGTTTTACAACATTTTTCAACATTTTTACGTTGAATTCGAATTATTTTAAGTCATGAAAAAAAGTAATTTACAGAAGAATAACAGCTGTTTGAAATTATTCTACTGTATTTCGTTATTGTTATGACCTTCCCTTCTAGCTAACACAGTCGTTTACTTCAATTTTATTTTTATTTTTTACAAAAGACAACTCTTAAAGTTTACTACACAGACATCGGTTCAATGAGTTTGCGTTTGTTTATGTACATGCGCGTGTTTGTGGGTAGTGCTTTTATACATTGTAACATTATTCACGTCAATCATAAGTTGAAAATAGTACAAACAATTCACCATAAAGTATGTATGTACTACACATGTACAAGCATGCTTATCAGAAAAAATGAAATAAGATGACTTCAGTTAATTATGTAGTTGTAACCAAATCTTGTAGACACAAATACACACAGACAGGAAAAAAACGGAAATGAACTTTTGTGTGGAAAAAAAAGAATTTTTTCTAGAGAAAACGAATGTTCGAATGACACAATTATCTAAATGATGAGAAAATAAAAAGCTGAGAAATTAGAAAATAATTAGTGGAGAGTAAAGTGCACACGAAGTAAAAAAACTAAGGGGGAAACAGAAAATAATCTCACCTTTCTTCTTCCTACGTTTATCCTTGATTTTGGTTTCCTTTCTTTGATTGATTAGTTAAAACTACACAAATTGTACATCTTTGTTTTTGATCACCTGTGTTATTTGTGTTTTCATAACAAAAATGTATTCGTTCTTCTCTTTCTAATTTTTTTTTAGTTTTTATCTCTGAACTTGCAATCTGTCGTTCGAGTTGGCGGGCTTTGAAGAGTGAGTGAAAGAGTGTGCATGAGAGAGAAAGTGTTTATTTCTCTGTATTTTCCTCGCTTCCAATTGTTACTGTTATTGCTCAGATGGCTTCCCTCATGTTTCTTTGGTGTTTAATTCAGTCTTTATTTTGCATATTTCAATTATATGCTTCTGATTTTGATAATTTGTGTTGTTCGTTGGTTCTCCACATTTTTTAAAATACTCGTGGCTTATTTAAATTATATTATCATAAATTATAGGTATTTTTGGGATGGAAGGACGATATTGAAACTACTAGATAACTGAATACAGTGATAATTTGACCCTGTAGTTTTAAACTGTCAATTTTTGGTATTAGTCTGTTGTGCGTGTTATTACAACTTGATTTTCATGTTAGAAATAGAAAGGTAGGAGAGTCGCAGAGATTTTTTAATTCATAGTTCCATATAATGGCCTGATTAAAGTTAGACAACTATTACAAACCAGGAAACACTGTACAGCTCTTTTTTCCTGAACTTCACTCATAATGGAGTTTTGGATGCACTTTGCTGTGGAGTCTCATACTAGGATGAAATAGCTATCCACTGTTTTCTGGTTTTAACCAGTTGCCGAACTAAAATCAGTCAGTGACATAAATCTTCAAAATGAACAACTCTTCTTCTGACACTTTATCTACTTGGAAGTGACAATCAGTATTTTTATCAGTCAGTTTTCCAGTGTAGTTGTTAATCTAAATAGCTTATTGCGACAACATAGTTCGTTTAGCGTTATATGGTCAGTAAAAGTTGGTAGACAATATTGGGTTTACGTTTTTATATGATAATGTTCGTCAGCATAACACCACTTTACTCTTAAAAGGATCGATTTGTTTCTCGATGATTTGAACTAACATCAAGTAGTGTTTGTCTAAGAATAATATTGAAGAGAAGAGAAATCAATGGTGTAAATTGCAATTTAGAAAAAGTTTTATATTCTTTTGTTTCGGCGATAAAACAACATATACACTACTTTTGAAGATTTATTATAAATTGGAAAAGAAACATCGTCTTAGACATCCGTCATCAATTATTACAACTAAGAGAATAGTTCCCATTTTATCATATTTGTAAGCCCCTTTCTCTTATTATTATGAGAAATGAGGTCATGAAAATTTTATTACACATAATTTAAGATAAATAGACCTTGCACCCTTCATAATATTCTCCGCTTGCGACAAACAATTTGTTCCATCTTAGTTTTTATCACTATCCCTAAGAGTCTTTGAAATTCAAAGATATATACCATCTCATCGTTTCATAATTCGTTAAAATCGTGTTGACAAAAGAATTATTCAGATTCGCTTGAACAATGGTCGGACAATGAAAAAGATAACGAGAGACTGTAAATCTTCTATTTTCAACCCCCAAATGCCCTAGTATGGCCGAGAGTGGGGAGAGTCCGCTCTCCCTCTCGAAATACTCTCACACGGCCACACGTATACAGCCTCTGCCAGGGAAGTCCTACTCACTGCCTTCTCGTGGCGGGGTTGTTGTTTACGAAAATGAGAGGACGAAAAGCGAATGTCCGGCGCTTTAACCGGATCACAAACCAATGGTGCACATGGGCTCCAGTATCCTGAGGGAACAAATGGCGTATGAGCCAACCGTTGGTCACTGGCTACCATGGGACTGCATCTCCTTACGATGCTCCACTGCCTTGTGGGTTAGACCTTTAGGTCAAAGGCTCGGGGTGTGGCGCCCTAAGATAACCACCTGCTTCGGTTTGGGCACCCGGGCAGTATCACAGCCCACACGCAAATGATGAAATCTCTATATCTATGGAAACTACTTTTCTCGCTTCGAATAACAATCAAATGATTCAAATGAATATTATTACTATTCTTCTTCTTCTTCTTCTTCTTCTTCTTCTTCTTCTTCTTATTATTATTATTATTATTATTATTATTATTATTATTATTATTATTATTTACCTCATTATTCACCCTCTTTTATACTTATACAGCGGCTCGCCTATGGTGGGAACTCGGTTCTATCTAAACGTTCTCAAGTCACTGACTGGTTGAAATTTGTATGCTACAACCAAATACGAATACTCAAGCAGTTTTTCTGAAACACGTGCATCATTCAAACTGGCTGCCTTCAACGTTCGCACATTTATGCAGGTCGGACAACAGATAGGGCTGGCTATGTCTTTGGAAAGTCTTAATATCGACGTCTGTTGTCCATTTGAGACTCGTATTCAAGACTGTGTGAAGTACTACAAATTCGCTCTCCATCTGTCGCTTCGAAAAGCTTGTTTTACGTGCGCTTATCCGGGGACCCTGTGGCATCTTCGTCTGGTCTTGCTGGCGTTGGTGTCGCACTAAGCGCTAGAGCTGAGGCAGCACTAGTCGATTGGATCCCCATTAACAGTCGGTTATGTGCTGTTAGATAAGAAAGTTCCATCAAAGTGAGAAGAAATCGGCGTGAGAAACGATGTCTTTTCGTCATCTCCGCCTATGCCCCGACAGATTGCAGCCCGGATGCAATCAAGGATGAGTTTTACCACCAGTTAACTGTTCTCCAGAAAGTGCGTTCGACAGATATTGTAGTACTAGCCGGAGACTTGAATGCTCAGGTCGGGCGTCTAGGCACAGAAGAGAGTCGTTTAGGTGGCCGATGGGGACTCGTTGGTCGCAGGTCAGATAACGGGGACCGTCTACTGCAACTGTGCACAGACCACAACCCCTTTCTGGCTAGCACTAACTTTCGGCACAGTCATCGCCAATGTGCCACCTGGCGTCCTCCCTCTGCATCTCAAGCCTGGACTCAGATTGATCACATCGCGATCAGCTACCGCTGGCGTGGTTGTGTAAAAGACTGCCGCTCCTTTTGGAGCACCTATCTGGACTCTGACCATGCCTGGTCTGCGCCAATCTTACCTTACTTTTCCGTGGCCAGCAAATTGATCGTCATAAACGGATTGATGTCAGTAAATTGGTTGCAGCTTATA